TATAGTATGCATATTTCATATACTCCCTCTATCAAAAAAATACATTTTTTGAGAAATTGGATTTTAAAAAAATATAAGATATTTTTGTCTTTTGAGGTATAATCATTACCTTTCTTTTTTAAAAGTGCCCCTATTAATAAATGACTTTATATTTATTATATATGTTTAATAGGAGTCAATATAAAAAAAAATGGTTAGTTTGAAAGTAGGTAGTTACTTTATTTAGGGTGAAATTTGATTAAAAATATCTTACATTTTTGAATGGAGGGAGTAGTTATTTAGGCATTATCAGCCTATTTAGGTAAATTCTTTCAATATGATTTCATTTTTTACCTATAGCATTCAAACCCTAAATCTTATTTGAAAGAAATCAAATCAAGCCCTTCTTAGATCGATAATATCAAGCCCTTCTATTTTGACATAACTACCTATTCGTAAAAAACAATTAGGTGTGGTGTCACGAGGCGTGCCAGAGATGTAGGGTCTCAAAAGAGTTGAAGAACCTAACTTCTAATCAACGCGAGTAACCCAGACTCCCTTATCATAGTTTACCCAAATGTGAGAATGCGAAATAAAAAAAATATTAATGTAGATGTAGGGAAGTAGAGATACATTAATTAAAGAAAAAGGTGGTGGACTAGACGGGCCATACAAAAGAAAAATAAAGACTAAAACTACATGATAAAAGAAAAAAATAAAATAAAGTAGCAGTCACGGAGTCTAAGACTAGTAGTTTGTTGATGCTGATACCCATTATTGAGAAATGGCTCTTCTATTTATAGATGATCTAAGCTTGGTGTCCAAGCCTTATGATCGTCAGTTTCCTTAAATTTAGAAAGCACTTCCTCTATCATAGCCACTCATCATAAGTGGAGTGCAGATGATCTTGACTTAGTGGCTAAGGCTTCATAAATATTTTCTTTAATTATTTTAAAACTAATTAAATTGAGTTGAGCATGGGCCTCTAAATTCATAATTTGGGTACAAACAATACCCCCTGCATACAAATTGGTTGGAGCTTTCATAGGCCAATTTTGTATGGATATGTCTTGGAGGACTAGCTCATTCTCGTTATGAATGATGGTTGATTTGGTATTTTTCTTGAAGGACATACTTGTGATTGAAGATTAAGGACTATGTGGTCTAGCTTAGAATCAAGTTTCTTAAGGTTTGGGACCTCAGGAGCTGGTTTTGGAATTGACCTTTCAAGTTTTTGGACTTTAAGGACTGGTTTTGTAAAATCTAACCACTGCAGGGCCCCTATGGAAAGAGCCGTTTAGGAGAGATCTCTTATGGAAAGGGCCATTGTAAAGCTTACCTTTTTGACTCTGACCCCTTTGGTGCTAGCCTCAATGACTTTAGCCCTTGTGATTTCAGCCCCTGTGCTACTGGTCCCTATGACTCAGCCCTTCTAGTGCTGGCCTTGATGACTTTGGCCCTTGTGGCTCAAGTCCCTTGGTGCTGGCCCTAATGGTTTTGGCCCCAATTACTTTGGCCCTTATGGCTCTAGCTCCTCTGATACTAACCCCAATGGCTTTAGCCTCAATAGTGTTGGCCTCGATGACTCTGGCCCTTGTGGCTCCGGCCCCTGTGGTGCTGGCCCCTATGGCTTTGGCCCTTATGGGTCCAAGGCCCTGTGGTATTAGCCACGATGGCTCTGGCCCTAATAATGCTGGCCCCTATGGCTCTGGCCCTTATGGTGCTAGTCACATTATGGCTTTGATCCTTTATGGCTCAGGCCCCTCTAGTGCTAGCCCTAATAGTTTTGGCCTTGATAATGCCGGCCCTAATGGTTCTGGCCCTTGTGGCTCTGGCCTGTCTAGTGCTAGACCCGTTGGCTCTGGCATTTGTAGCCAAATAAGCTTGCTATTAAATTAGACCTACCATTTATCCCTTAAGGGATGTTATAACGGTCCTCATTATTGATCTTCTGGTTGAATGGAACTCTAAGAGATTGGCCTTGAGTCCATCTATTCTCTGAAGGTCTTGCTTCTACGATGATCTAGACAACATAGCAGAGGTGTTTCTTAGCCCCTCCTTCAAAGTTTGCAACAGAGCTCTTTGCCTCTCATTAGCTTGTACTTCACTTTCTGCGTGTGCAGCCACATTTTCTAAGTCATAAGACTTAGGTCTATTCTTTCCAACAACATATTGATCCTTACTTGTCCTAGGCATTCCTTTAACATGAGTCCCAACCAAGCGTGTCAAAAATTATTCGTAAAAAACAACCAAGCGTAGTGTCGTGAGGCATGCTAGAGACGCGGGGTCTCAAAAGAATGGAAGAACCTAACTTCTAATCAACATGGGGAACCCGAGCTCCCTCACCATAGTTCACTCGGATGTGAGAATGCGAAGTAAAGAAAATTAATGTAGATGCAGGGAAGCAGAGATACATTAATTAAAAAAAAGGTGGCGGGTTATGCTGGTCATACAACAGAAAAATAAAGACTAAAACTACATGATAAAAGAAAAAAAGAAAATAAAGTAGCAAACACGGAGTCTGAGACTAGTAGTTTGTTAATGCTGATGCCTATTGTTGAGGAATGGCTCCTCTATTTATAAATGATCCTGGCTTGGTGTCCAAGCCTTACGATCATCAGTTTCCTTGAATTTAGAAAACACTTCCTTTATCATAGCCACTCATCATGGGTAGAGTGCGTATGGTTTTAACTCAGTGGCTAAAACTTTATAAATATTTTCCTCAATTATTTTAAAGCCAATTAAATTGAATTAAGACTGGGCTTTCAAATTCACAATTTGAATGCAAATACTACCATTGTCTTTAGTATAATTAAAGTATGCATTAGAAATGAAGAGATTTTTTAACAAACTTACCCTATTTGAATAACTTTTTTATATTAGCTATATTGCAAAGAAATTGTAGAAAACTTATTACTATCCCATCAAATTTATCACGCGCTAACAGCTAGAACTTATCTTGTGATTTAAACTAATCAACTTTCTTCGCCCTATATAGCTTCCTATTTTGTGTGGAAGCTTTTTAGAGGTTAGATTGATCACTAAAAACTAAAAAGTGGTGCTGGTGCTCCATTAATTGTTTTCTCATTTTAGTGCTCCAATGACATTTCCATTTCAACTATGAAGTAAAAAATGACATTGTGGAAGGTTAAGAAATTTCAACCCACCCAATGAATACTTGCTTAAAATTCTTCATCACTTTTATGAAGATTAAATTAAAAGGAGGTCCTTTTTTTCCCATTCATACATAAAATGATAAGAGTAGATTTTTTCTTTTTCTTCTTTTAAAGGAGCAAGAAGGGAAGTTCAACAACTAAACCTTACCTAATCTTTTATTTCGCTTAGTATCTAAGGTCTAATAGTTCTTTTCTTTTTTCCTTTGATAATTAAGTAAATTAAACTTTTAAAAATTGATTAACTTTTAATTAATATATTTTGTATTATCTTTGATTCTATTTATAAGTTACTTTTAACATGTTTCACTAAGATGAAAGAAAACTTTAAATATCATTAATTCTGTTTTAAAATTTAATAAATTTTCATCTTCACTCCTAATAAATACAAAAAAGACTTATTCTTAACCAATTTTTCTTACATTTAATAACGGTAGAAAGGTAAAGATGAATATAAAAATAGTAAAATACCCTATAAATAAGCTCAAAATATATCTTTTATCTTTGCTTTATAAATATGACCAAAGAAGTAATTATATAAATTTTATTTTAACTTATTTCTGGCTCATGACATTAAATTATTAAATTTTAAATACTCCCTTTGTCCCAAATTATAGCACATTTTTATACAAAATATCACATACCAATAAACCTCATTAAGTACACTTAACAATCTTATTTTTTTAAAATAAAAATATAAACTTTTAAAAATATTCATTATTTAATATATTGAAAAGAGAAAGAACATAAGTTAATTATATAGAGAGAAAAAGAGTAATATTAAAATTAAAACATTTAATGAAACCTTAATTTACCTAAAATATCTTATATTTTGGGATGGAAAAACTAATTAAAAAGTACTCCATAATTTAAAATGGACGGAGTAATATGTAATTGTCCAAAGTTAAGTTATTTAATATTGTTTTGTTATTACATTAGAATAAATTAATATTAGCTCTTATAGAGAATTAAATTGAATATGGTTTTTGGAGCACAAGAGGTATCATATTTAATTTAGTCAAAAAGCAGAGTTTTTTTTTGTGCTAAAAAATCCAAAAAATGTTTCTATTAGTTCGTTTAGACAAATAAAAAACAAAAAATAGTTATTCTCTTCATTTAAAAATATAAAATATTTTTAACCAAATCTCACCCCTTAATAAAGTAGTTATCTACTTTTCAACTAACTCTATCTTTTTATATTTATCCCTGTTAAACACCCTATAATAATATAAAGTCATTATCAATAGAATTTTTTTTTAAAAAGGCAATGGTTACACATTGAAAGACTAAAAATATCTTATATTTTTAAATATTTAACTCTTCAAAAAATGCTTTATACTTTTAAACGGAGGGAATAGTTCATAATCTACTAATTCTTTTCACCTAATGGTTAATTTTTTTTTTTGAGAATTTTTCTTGAGATATTAAATGATTTTTTTTTGTTTTGCCAAAAGAACAATCTTACATAGTTACACAAGAAATCATGTCATTTAATATCATAATTCTAAAGTCCCCTCAAATCAATTGTTTGATATGTTGTTCAAAAAGAAATTCTTTTCAAATGAAATGGAAGGAATCCAACATTTGTTAAATAAGGTTAAATATTAAAACTTTATAGAAAGAAAACATTATGTCAAGAGAATTACTTTGTTGCAGTGAAATTTGGATTAACATCTAATTTAGATTCAGATACCAAATGATTGTCATTAAAAAAAAACAGCATATATATATATAATTATTATTTTATTTTTTGTTTTTTATATACTGAATAAATTTTATTTATTTATTTATGTCTTGGATTCGCAGTGGAGCCCATGAAGCATAAATAGCCCAAGTTTCTAAAAATGTTGCTTGTGTAGTCGATAAGTCTCAAACTGAAACTCTTCGTCCTCCTTGTGATGTGGCAGAAACCCAAACCTTTGAACTTCAATTTCTGCGTCTGACACATTCCCTCGTTCATTCATTCATTTAAACCCAGATCCCTCTCTTCTCCTCCTTCTCTATTCAGATCCCTCAGATTTCTCGTCTCAGGGATTAGGGTTGTTAATCTTCGTATTCAAATCCAGCAACCATGTCTATGTCTGAAGGCGTTGTGAAGAAAGTCATCCTCTCCTACACCTACGTCGCCGTATGGATCTTCCTCAGCTTCACCGTCATCGTCTACAACAAGTACATCCTCGACCGCAAGATGTACAATTGGCCCTACCCCATTTCCCTCACCATGATCCACATGGCCTTCTGCTCCTCCGTCGCCTTCCTCATCGTTCGCGTCTTCAAACTCGTTGAGCCTGTTTCAATGTCGCGGGAGCTTTACATCAAATCCGTGGTGCCTATCGGTGCTCTGTATTCTCTTTCTCTCTGGTTCTCTAATTCTGTCTATATTTACCTCTCTGTTTCCTTCATTCAAATGCTCAAAGCCCTTATGCCTGTCGCTGTTTATTCGATTGGGGTTTTGTTTAAGAAGGAGAGTTTCAAGAGCGAAACCATGGCTAATATGGTGTCAATTTCTGTGGGAGTTGCGATCGCCGCTTATGGCGAAGCCAAATTCGATGCCTGGGGTGTGACTTTGCAGCTTTTGGCGGTTTCATTCGAGGCCACTCGGTTGGTTCTGATCCAGATTTTGTTGAATTCTAAAGGGATTTCTCTTAACCCTATCACCTCACTCTACTATATTGCTCCTTGTTGTTTGGTTTTCTTGTCTATCCCCTGGATGATCATGGAGTACCCGTATTTGAAAGAAACCTCTAGTTTCCATTTTGACTTTGTCATTTTTGGGACCAATTCATTCTGTGCTTTTGCTTTGAATCTTGCTGTGTTTTTGCTTGTTGGCAAGACATCGGCTCTGACCATGAACGTTGCCGGAGTGGTGAAGGATTGGTTATTGATCGCTTTCTCTTGGTCTGTGATAAAGGACACAGTCACACCCATCAATTTGATTGGCTACGGTCTTGCATTCTTAGGCGTTGGATATTACAATCACTCCAAATTGCAGGCTCTTAAAGCTTCGGAGGCTCAGAAGAAAGCCCAGCAAGCTGATGAGGAAGCTGGAAGACTCTTACAGGAGAGAGAAGGAGAAACAACAACAGGAGGGAAGCACGAGAACCAGAATTGATTTGGCTGCAGCTAATCTCATTTTTGGATACGAAGATCAGAGATTTAATATTTGTCGATTAATATTGGTGTATCGGTATTAGGTATTTATGTTACTTCTACTCAATTTTTCTTGCCTCTCATTGTTCATTTCAGCGACTGTGTGCTGAGAATTGAACATCTTCCCTCAATGAGTTAACCATTATGGATGTTCTGGACCAATTTCTTTGAAGTAAAGCTTATGGTTTATTAGCAAGTCAATGGTTGATATGTCTCTGTTGCATTGGTGTTCATGATGCTGATCACTTTTGCTACATATTTTACGATTGCATCTGTCATTCTGAAACCATAAGACAGGCAATTGTTGTTTGTCAATTTTTTGTCTTTCAAAGAAAATAAATTTATGTTAAGGATAAGTTTGAAAAATGTTTCAGAACCATACTTTGAAGCTCTCCATCCCCTGAATATCAGTTGCTTCCCAACGTGGAAGAAATTGATTCACTGTATGTGAAATAACAAAGATGTGTAATTTATCTGGATTTTTCTTAAAGACAAATAAATTTAGGAAAAGTTTGTTGTGTGGGTATTTGTTGTCTTCTCAATGTAGTTTCAACATATTTTATTGGATCACGTATTTCTTGTGGATGGCTATCACGTCAACCATAACTTAATGATTAGAGCTTAAAATGTCATCTTGTTGAGATTCTGGGCTCTGATGTGCATGATTGGAGCTTTGATTTAATATATAATACATGGCGTGCTGTTGCATTCTCAGTTTTCTAGATTGTAAATTGAATATGCGTTTTTGCCCCTTCTTTTCTTTTTTCTTTTTTTAAACCAAAAAAAAAAAAAACAAAGAACATAGTAGTTGCAGTTGGGTGACAGTTTCGTTTTCCTTTTCATGTATCTGTCACTCCCTGGATTCTTCCGGGTTAGGAGCTTAGTGGTTTGCGTGTTCTATCACGTTTTTATGTTATTTGCCTGACTCACAGGAATTTGGTGGCCTGTCATTGATCTGATAATTTGGCTATTTATAATTTTTCTTTTGTTGGCACTAATTAGATAGTGGGGGAGCATATATTGAAAGGTAAAAAGAGAAAATTGGCTATGAAATTGGAGATGCTGAAGCGTTTAGGATGTGAATTCATTTTTGATGCAATTTTCTCTTTTAATTTTTAAAAATGGTACAATCTTACCTTATTATTAATAAAAGTTAACTTTAACTATTATATGATTAAAAAATGACAAAAATGGATTTCAAAAATTACAAAAAATGAATTATGAAAATTTTCTTGATCATTTTTAGTAATTTTTTGTTGTCATTGTATGTGATTTTTGAGTTTTTTACTGTAATGTTTTATTATTTTTTGCAATTTTAAGATCTTTTTTATTATTTTATAATTAATTAACAATTAAAATTAACTTTTTTTAATAGTATGTGTTAGATTGTATCATTTTTCAAAAATTAAAAGAAAATATTTCATTAAAAATTAAAAATGAATTTCAAATCCCATATGCTTTTGAATATATAATTTAGGTGCCAATATACTCTTTTATCCTATATTGAATTCCATGGAGTTGAAGAATGAGTTATGTTATTCAGAATTAGTGAATTTTATTACTCCCTCCGATTAAAAATGTAAGGCATTTTTTAAAGAGTTAAATATTAAAAAATGTAAGGCATTTTTAGTCTTTTGAAGTGTAATCATTATCTTTTTTTTTTTTAAAAGTGTCTTTATTGATGATGATTTTATATTTATTGTAAGGTATTTAATAGGGATAAATATGAAAAGATGGGGTTAGTTAAAAAATAAGTAGTTACTTTATTGGATAGTAAAACTTGGTTAAACATGCCTTACATTTTTTAATAGAGAGAATATATATTATATATTTTATATTATATATTGATGATGTATTGATGACTAACACCCAAAGATGATATTGTTGGATAGCTTTCATTAGCTAACATAGCACATTTGAAATTAAAGCTAGGAATATCAGGTCCTGTTTAAATAAGGGTTTGAGTTTTAAAAATATTTTTTAAAAAATAATCGGACTTGAAGGTCTAACTCTGATAAGTCTTATAAAAAAAAACTTGGGCTTAGGTGGTCCTTTAAATCCTATTATATTATTATTATTATTTTGGCGGAACACGCATTTGAAGCGAAGGACCTGCTCGCTTGAAACTCTGATCCTACATGCGTTATATTATTATTAATTTTAATTTATTTTAAAGTTAATTTAATATAATTTAATAAATATTAGTGTTTAGTATAAAATTTCTAATATTTTTTATTTTTTATAATTATTATGTTTGTGTATTTATAAAAAATGAACTGTTTTTAACCAATATTTGAATTTTATTACCAGACTTTTAAATGTGTATTGTTTAATTTCTAAAAGATTATGAGGATTCTAATTTTTTTAATTTCAAAACATTTTAATTAATTTGTAATACTTAATTTTATTTTAACTTTTTTAAGTTTGTTTAGAATAGGGTTTAAGAGCCTAGGTTTGAGTTCTTCAAATAAGGACCAGGTCTCAAAAAAGGGGTGAAAAATGAAAAAATTAAGTTTAAAGTCTCGAGCTCATAAGAGCTGAGCCTGCCCGTTTTCTAGTTCTATTGGAACAATATCCTCTAAAATCAAACCAATCAATGTTGATATAAAGTATAAAAATTTTAGTAAGTTGCATTATGTATTATTTGTAACTCATAAATATATAGCCTTTTTTTTTTTTTTTACTCTCCACCTGCAACATTTTATTTTCCATACCATACTTAAAATGCTATATCACGAGAATTAATAATTAAACCTGTTAAAATGATTACTATGATAAAAAAGCTTTAAACCCTATAAATTAGTTGGTAAACAAGATAAAAAGAGATAAATATGTATGTAAAAGTTTACTATAATTATAAAAGAATATACTTTTTAATACAATATTAGCTCTATCATAATGGAAAATAGTTTATCATATATTATTTCAAAACAAAAGAAAATAGTTTATTGTAATAGAAAGAAGGGAAAACACAATGATTTTTATTGCATTTTGTTTTTAGTTTTTGTAGGTATTTTCATTGTTCCTCCTCTTCGTAGTTTCTGCTATTTAAAACATTAGTCCGTCAAGTCCCTAATGCTATTCAATTGATGTTGACGTGTTAAATTTGTGTCTAGTTGGCAAATATAACTCAGCAATTTTTTTTCCCAACACATCTTGCGATAAAGGGTCCTTTGGTGAAGAATTTAACCCCTACATGAGGCTCTGACAGGGCTTTTGAAATTGACCCTACATTGAACCTGAGTCGGCGTCCTTGTCGATTTTTCTAACCTCATCGAGGTCATGGATGGCATAGTCTCTCATTGTTTGTTTGTTTGTTTTTTTTTAATTTAATCCAACACATCTACTGAGTAACCTTGCATGTTACATTTGATAACTAGACACAAATTTAACACATCAACATCATATTTAACAGTGTTAACAACTCAGCCAATTTAACACTGTTAGGGATGGGAAGGACTAAAATTTTATGTGGCAGAAACTATAGGGATTGGGAACCAAAAAAAAAAAAAAACTATAAGGATTAAAAGCAAAATATGATGAAACTATGGGGATCAATCAATGTATTTTTTACAAAAAGAATTAATCTAATAAAATATATTGAATAACTGATAAAACTGTATAAAACTTCTGGTAAAGCAACATTAATAATAACAACGTTAACAGGGAGGCTGGGCAAATTCGAAGTTCAAGACAAATAAATCAAACCATAGGGCCCCTACAACTTGACAGAAACCATAATAATGTTATAAAATCACAGTTTCATCTCTACACATTTTTTCCCACAAAACTATATTGCAAGCAAATCAACATATGTAAAGTACTAGACCCTTTTCCAAACTCCCAAAAACATCATCGTCAATTCACAATATCGTCAACAAAAGCATAAAAACGTAACAGAGTATTTGATATGTTCAAAGAATCAAAATTATGTTTAGAGTGCCCTAGATGTGGTAATATGCATATTCAACACAAACTCAAGATGAGGCTTTGCTGCAATCAATAGCTTCAAGTTTCAGCTGACTTTCCCTACTGAATCCTTGCCTGTAAACATTAAAACTAGAAAAGAGAGACATAAAATCTCGGAATCTACTAAACAATTTATAATAAGCATACAGGGTTGGATATGAAACATTTAAGTGGGTTCATTTCCAAACATATTTCATAAAATTCAACAGTATTTTCAAAACCATAATTATGCATGAATATTCTCAACCTCTCTAACATTCACCTTATTATTACTTCTAAATGAACCCATAAACTATTTAAATGCATAAGAGGACTTATTTATGTGATTGGACGATTCCAAGCTAATCAAGCATGAGATATATAACTCAACCGAAGGCTACAAAGTACAAAGGTCTCAATTGAATCGTGGGTTCCCCCTCTTTAAAAAAGCCCAGAGAGGTGACAATACTCATACCAAAGAATTTACCCTAATCCCAGCCGAAAGATAGGATAATACCGAAAGCCCTAACAACGAGCTAAAATTAAGCTCTTTAGTGGCCACATATCACAACATTTCTCCCAAACATCATCAGCCCATTCCAATGAATGGACTCAAAAAATTTAGTTGGTGAGGGCAAATTTTAACCAAATATAAATTTTAAAAATTTTATAAAAATGAAATTCTAAATAGTTATTAAATTAATATAAAAATAATATTTACTAAAATTAATTATTAAAGAACTAGTATACTTTTATAATCAGTATCGAAGAAAACTATATTTTTAGATGTATATGTTTCGTGTTTTTTAAAAATAAATGGGTTCAAACATACACTTTTTTGGGTTGGGGCAAAAATGAAATTTTTTAGAGGGGACAAGAAAAATTTTAAGGGAATTATGTGTTATTTTTTATATAAATGGAATTTATAGATAATATTTACCTTTTGCTCATGGGGTCACCTGCCCCATTATCATACACGTAGGTCCGTCACTCGCAATACAAATAAACATATGTAGTATAATTTAAAAATCATACATAAAAATTCCTCAACGGCAAACCATCAGTTCACATGACATTTTCCAAAATAATAAGTATATTAATGAATAACCCCACTTAACAAGTCATTTTTAAGTTAGAGTTTCAATATTTTCCAACAAAGACACATGCACGCATGCTTGCATACACCATAACCCATTAATGAATGCATGCATGCATCCATACATCCATATACACATACATGCATACTTA